AGTCCACTGTCTGATGCTGGGAATCATGACAACTACTATGGCAGACGACTTCGGACTAAGTGCGCTCTACTAAGTCCCCCTAACAACAAGACCAAGTTGCGATAACGAAATCAACCCACTTCTATAAATCAAAATGAGACTGCGACCATATCAGAAGCCACAACATCTTGGTCTTCATAGCTTCAAGAGATCTACAAGCCCTAGAGTGGGTTACGAAGGGAGGAGAGAAAACAATAAATTTACGTCTTGATTATGACTAAAAATTGATTCTTTACGGAAATTTAAACGAATGGCAATTTGATTACTCAGGTTTAATAAATATCTGAGATGAAGCCATGACACTAGTGTTATTCTAAATTCAGAGACAATTAAGCGAATAACTCCTCAACTAGGACAGATATAATTGCCAGATTGAGCTAAAGTAGATAGCCCGTTTGGTAAGATGCGGATATTTGAAAGGCAGGGAGGACAAGTGGATCGAAACAAAGAGAAATGGATGACCAAGTGGAGGAACAGATTATGGTCGAGAGGCTGGTCGTAGTCTTACAATACACCCTCAAAGATATGAGCAAATAGTGTAATGAACAACTGATGATTCAAAGTGGACTAGGGAAGAGGTGCGGCCGAGGAAGGAGATGGAGTTAGATAAGACAGTGCAGTAGATTAAGTGCTCCAGGGCAGAGGGTAAAACTTAAATATCGATCAATGAGATTGACATTATTTGTCACTTTGGTGGTATGAAGCTTGATGTTAAGTATAGTTGCGTCCTATGACGATTCAGGCGAAATGTCTGATAAGCAAGCCAGACAAAAGTGCTGGAACGATGTTGGAAGAACACGGAAAAACTGACAAAGGACGCAATAAAGGAAATGTTTTTTGAGTATCCTTGAAAATAAGATTGAGTTGCGAAAACAGGTCGAAATCAATTATACAATGAGAGGGACTACGACCAAACTAAAGGCCACATAACCTTGATCTGCATATTATTCCCCTTTGCTATAGCTTAGAGTGCAGAGATTTTTACGATTTTTCACTCGGATTTTTTAACATGACGTATTTTTTAAAGATAATTTTGTTCTGACGATAGTAACAGAAGACAAGGGTTAAAGTTAAATTTTACGAATCACACTCGTAAGCATTTAGGCCAACAAAAATGTGGTTTGGCAATGAAGGGCATCATCGCATGCCAGCAACAAGAAAAATGGACAAAATTCCTGTACTGGCATGAAAAGCTTGCAAAGTATAAATAAAAATATAATGAAGTTAATACACAGCGTCTGCGATTCGAGAAAGCATTTTCAAGAAGGAAAATATCCAAAAACGAAGGCAAAAAGATGATGCAAAATATGAAACTAATGTGCAGATAAAAACAGTCGCTTAAGGCAAGAAAAAGTAAAGGAAAGTTAGGCTAACCTGTAGAGAGATTCCAGAGGATCCAGTTAGATTCCGCACAGGTGAGGTGTGGATGGATAATGTGGCATCTGAGGTCAGAGAGGAGTATCCGGATGAAGACGAGGTGCTTCCTGAGCTGCCAATTAAAGCCAGTTTTTGCTGCTGTTGGCGATGTATGGCATGTGCCTGGGCTAGTGATAAGGCTGTGGGGCAGCTAGAACCAGGCTGAAGTGCAGCCACTGCCGCTGCGCAGGCAATAATTGGGGGCGAGCAGATGATGGGTCTACCATTGACGTATAACCAAGACTTTGAGGC